GCTGGTCGTCACCCAAAAAGTTCATGAACAGAAGCGTTCGTAACCCGAGGTTCCACTGTATTTTAGGACTTGCTTTTGATATCTCTAGGACTTGTTTCAAAATATTATTGTCCAGTGAGTTATTTACATTATGCAACTCATATTATCAGATACTCCTGAAAATGAACATGAAGCTGCTCAGAGAAGACTCATTCATTCCCTGTATTTCAGCCAATATTGTTTTCAGGATGAATCAAAATTCACAAAGCAGTACAATGTAATGAATAATATGTTGGTGTACATATAGCAGTTTAGTGTTCCAGTCCAGGTTTCAAGCTATTACTTCATAATAGCTGACTTGCAAATGGTGAAAATGCAACTCACTCAAGTTGATTTTAATTGCTTCATTTAGTTATGATAAGAAAGAGAAGGACTGAAAACTTGCCAAGATAGGCATTCTGAAGTTAAATTTCCAGTAACTTAAGGCCTATGAGTTTAGCTTTGTATTGTCTGATTTTGTTGCAAGATATGATTGTGAGCACTAATAGACTGAATGTTGCAGCGACAGACAGAAGGACGAGTACCAGTGTTCAGCCATGAAGTTGTACCCGATCATCTTCGGACCAAGCCTGATCCTGAGGTAGAGGAGCAAGAGAAGCAGCTGAGCACTGATGCAGCTCGTATTGGTACTGATGCGGCACAAGTAAGACAATGACTGATTAGTAGGACCAGGAAGAAAAGATAACTTGGAGCCCAAGGGAACACAAACATAGCACCTGTCTGCAGCTCTGAAAGCAGCAGGGTCTTTTCCTGAGATCATGTGGCTGCTCTCTGTAAAGGAAAAAAAGTGTCAGCTTTAAAGAGATGCAGACATGTTTGTGCCCCTGTGCACTCCAAAGCACATTTTTGGAATCAAATGTAAAGTATTACATACTGAATAGACACTGTTAGAATCTAAAATCTTTTCTTGGTAAATGTTTATAAGTGAGCATGCTGCCCCCACAGTTTAATCCTCTGCTTAGCAAATGCTATTCGGTAGCATGTAGATGAATTGCAACTCTATTACATAAAGAACAAGATGTGTTTAAAATATTATTGCATTTTTCATGTGTGAAGGACATTTGCAAAACAAGTTGTTGTGATTGCTCTATTCTATATTTCCTTCAGGAACTCAAGACAATACAGGATATATGTACTCCCTCTATCTTTCCCCACAACAACTCTAATGTAGGATGGACCGAAAGATAGTCATTGCCCCCAAATCATATTGTATCACATTTCCTTGCAACAAAGGTTGCTTGAAATCATCACATTCCACTGCCCTTGCTATCAGCAGTAGTGAGTCTCTATATCTCAGGAATTATGTATTTGTGTATAGATATGCTCACATGCTCGTTTATATAGGTTCATATGCACTCTAATAGGCATGTTTCTCCCATTCCCAGGCCTAATTTGGCACCCATGAATTCTCAGATCCAAAATGTTGCCTATCTCTGATTTTGTCAAGGCAATGTGAGATTTCCACCTTGTACATAACAGTCTCCAGCTTCCAGAATATCTGGGGATAGGCTTTAATGAGTTTCATCTATCTGAAGTCAGGTATTGTGAAACACTTATAAATTCTGACATGTGATTTTTATGGTTGCAGAAACAGATTCAAAGCCTAAACAAAATGTGTTCGAACTTGCTAGAGAAAATCAACAAAGAAGACCGAGAGTCTGAAACTGGAGGTATGGTTCTAGAGAAGGAGGAATACTGAGCAAGCTTTAATGGGGACTACACTATCCAAAGATAGAAATCTCAGAAGCAGAGATAAAAAGTATGGTGAGGAATAAAACCTAAACCTTTGGAGACCAATATGAATGTTTTTCCATCCTATAGGTTTACGCCAGAACAAGCAGACATTCAACCCCGCTGATACCAATGCCCTAGTTGCAGCTGTAGCCTTTGGAAAGGGATTGTCGAACAGACGTCCACCAGGAGTGGGAAGTTCTGTTCAGACCAGTCAGCAAGGTGCCAGTGCCATCATAGCAGGTGCTTCTACCATGCAGCAAGTACAAATGTCTGGAGCACCTAATCAGCCACAGCCTATGCTTGGAGGAGTGCAGATGCCACAAGCAGGCCAACCAGGTAAATAAAAACACAGAGACAAAGAAATATACAGTAATATTGTTGGGACCATAAGAAGTGTTGTCCTACAGAAGTTAAACATTTTGTATAAACAGATAGGCTTTAGGGAAGGACAGCTATTTGGGACAAGTTATGCAATATCTGTTTCTTCCACATCTCTGGGCTCACAGCCTCCTGGATAATGATTATATAAATTATAGGTGGGATATGGCAACTTATCATTTATATTATCATTATCCAGGAGGCTGTGAGCCTGGAGATGAGATAGGATAGCATAGAATATATTACATATATTCAATATAGGATTGTCCGTTATACTGAGAAGAAGTTGCTAGTATTCAAAATCAGGAGCAGGCTATTCTCCTTATGTCCAGCTGGGTGGTATTCTCAAGAGGCATTTGCTTACTCACCATAGGAAAATGGGATATTGGGGCTGGTTAGGTCTTTTCTCTTATTCAACAGGTTTCTTGTTTAGCTCAATAAGTGTGTAAAATGTCTGAGAAACTTGCACAAAGTGATGATAGAGAGTGTGTGAGTTAGTGACCGAATGTACCTCCCTCAAAAGTATGTGCAAGAAAGATCCCGAGGAAGTAATAAAGACATTCTCTCCTAAATTGGTCTGATTCTTAATACATTGCTAAACCCAGCTTTTTTCATATCTCCAGGTAAGATGCCCAGTGGCATAAAAACCAATATTAAATCTGCTTCAATGCATCCCTATCAAAGGTGAGTAGGAAGTATTCTGGTCTATTGCTGCTCCTGGACTTCACTTCCAAGACAACACTTATTCAACTTGTTCTCAACAATGAAACTTGGTCTCTTCTTTAAATATCAGTGGGATCATTTATTCATACAGCTGCATTGATCCAGGACACAAGAACATAAAAGTGTATTTTTCATTACAAATGGTAGAGGCATTTCTTTGAGGACAAGAAATCTATCAAGTAGCTAAGCCAAGATGATGAACAAATTTACTTTCCTGATTCCTTCAGGTAGTGCACCCCTTTGGAAACTGCCTGTTGATGACTGAGATATATGAGACATGCAAGTTATAACATTTTTCAAAACAATAATAAAGTTCAGGTGGTCTGTCTCATGTAGCTTTTCTGTATTTTTAAGGTGGATCATGGGAAAATTTGTGGCTTTGACTTGGCTGCATTTTTCATAGAATGCTTGATTCTTGTACCATTAGACAGGCCAGCATATCATCTGTTTTGGTTCCTGTCTGAGATTCTTTTGTTTATGCCATTTTTCATTGACTGAGGATTAGCACTCTAGCTCTTGGTTTATTGATATAGAAACTTCAGCAAATTGTCAACTAGAGGGCAGGCAAGATAGATAAAAGCTTGCCCAGAATTTATCAATATGAACAAATGAAAATGTTGTTTTTAAGTGTGATAAATGGTAAATATTACAGTGGATTTCTGAAATGTAGAGCAGTCCTGACACATCTTCCCTGCATCAGTGGCAAATGAGGGGTACTACCTTTTTGCTGAAATTGATGTGGGAGGGGACCTAGCTAGATGTCAGAAACAACCAGATACTGCCATGTAGGATCTTTCACTGTACTCTGTGACTCCAAATCCATCACCATAATCACTTGCAGTCTATTGGTTGTTTTAACCACTGCATCCAAGTTCTGCTTGAGAACAGGTATCTTACTACTAAGCGGCAGCATGAGTTATCTACTGCTGCTAGCAGTGGAAAGGATATTAGATGATGCCTAAACAGGTGTTTAAACATTTTCAAGGTTGAAAGACAGTTAGTGTTCTATTCCTAGCAGTGGCTAAGCTCAAACTTGATCTTCAAGCTCAGAATTTAAGTGTTCCCATACAAGCCTGCTAATGGCCTGCAGCTTGCTCACTTTGGTGGTAGTGTGCTATTCTGCTGGATCTTCTGGGCCAGTAGCAGGAGCTGCAGCAGCTGTGACTTCAGATTTGGGAGGAGCCTCATGTTCAGCCACCTCCTCTTATGACTGGGAAATAGCCCTTCCTCAACCTCACCTATCGCAACATCGGTGGAAAGTATCACTATTACAGAGTTCTACAGAAATTAAAAGGATTGTTTAAGCATATGAGAAATACATCTAAATTCATGGGTATACAGTCTACATATATGTAATAATGAACCTCGTTCTTCAACAAATTGGTGACAGCTGTTAATCCTATGAAATTTCAATGTAACATAATTCCTGACTGATCTTGACTGATCCTGGAAACTTGGCATTAGTATGTAGATGGGAGAGCACTTGGAAAGAACTGTATGCTAGACGAGAAGTAAAGAGAGAGAAAGAGAGAGGGAATGCTGAAAGAATGCAGCGACAAACACCTCTATAACACTACATGGATACATCTCTCTAATCAACAAGCTTGAGGACATCGTGACCTTTTTATAATGCATCAGTGATACTGTTTTAAAATAGCTTTACTAATTCAAGCAGATCATGGAGAAAATCTATCTGTGTGGTTGCTAAAAGTTGACACCAACTTGATAGCATATAATAAATTCAAGGAGATGTTCTTTTAGAGGGAAGAATAATATAAATCTGTTGATATTCCTCATTTGTGGTTAGTGCATCAAGGTACATCTTTAAAAACTATTATCAATCAGACTTCTATAACTGGGTGTTAACAATTCCTTTGGATGAACTAATTGTGATAGTATATAATTTTCATTAGTTGTTCTCTTGGAATTTCCTGTTGTCTAAAGTGAAATTAAAAACTAATTTGAAACTTTATCTGTATTTATAATGTCATAAAGCTTGTCTTGAAGATCCCTTAATATAAAAGATTTATTACAGTGAAATAAACCTTTTAATTTGTAAACATTTCTACCTGTCCAACTTTTATATTGCAAATAGTTATTTTTTTAAGTGTATCTTTTAAAAGAATTCTGTATCTTTAAAATTATCTTTAAAAAGATGATCTAAATGGAGGAAAAATGAGCTAGAAAAGTTGCCATGCCATTAAGGCTGCCTTATAAAATGAGTTGGCAATGTCTTTTATTAAATATTGTAAAGGGGAGATCTTGCTGTCCATAATCAAATCTGCTGTGACCCATTATAGTATATGAGATGAATTAACTGTTTTACTTGATATGCATCAAATAAAGCTTCAAAATTAGATACAGCAATGCTTCCCTGTTGTTTCATGGCAAATTTAAAATACTTTATTAATGAATCTGTTTATATTTTTTGCTATGGAGAAAGCTTGTCTGAAGATGGAGGAATCATTAGTAGAAAAATAGTAATTTGGAAAAGATCATTTTAATTCTGTCCAATATTCTTCATCAAGTTTAATGTATTTTCCCATTCTAACACTTTTCCTTTTGACTACCATGAGAAAGGCATACAATTCCAAATTGTATTTTCATTAGAATTTGAATTAAAAGGCGAGTTTTAAATTAGTTATAGTTTGTGCAGTTTTTTAATACTTTGAGTAGTGTTTTGAGTTTCTAGAGGTACATTATACAGAAAAGATCAGAATTTTTTACATGGTATCTGAATCTAGAGGTAACCACCACCTCATATCATACTTGGAAACCAACTGATAACCAGGGCAGCTTCTGAAGTAGCAGAGTCACCTGAGCACATCACAATATATCTATCACTGCCAAGATTGCCATATTTTGCACCAGCTGCAGGACTTGTGACAAAACATTGCAATATGGAGTGCTCCTATTCCAGGTACTCTTTCATTCTGCTTTCAGTGGCTGCTGAAAGTTTTCTGCCCTCATTATATTGATTCTATGGTTCCCCATTTAGAAGAAATTTTTTTTCCTTCTATAAGCATTTTATTTGTTTGTTTGTTTGTTTGGCTTCCCTTTTCAAGGTCAATAAATAAAACCACACTAGCAGCACAGCGTGCTTAATCTCCTGGCCCAAATGCCTGGAGGAACAGCCAGGTCTTCAGTGCCTTGCAAAAGACCAACGGGTGGGGCCATCTGAATCTCCAGAGGGATGCTGTTTCACAGGGCAGACATTACAACAGAAAAGTCATGACTCCTGGATCCAACAAGATGGCATTATTTGATAGAAGGTACCCAGAGCATAGCTCCCCTGCTATGCTATCTGGTGGGGCAAAGAAATGATAGGAAACAAGTGATCCCACAAATAGCC